TGGAGCCAGAGGAGGGGGAGGAGACGGCGGCGGAGACGGAGGCGTAAACGGCGGAGGAGAGGAGGAGGGATCTGGCTGGGCGGTCGGTGTCGGCGAGTGACGACAGCGGGTCTTCGTCTTCGGCGGCGGGCGGAGGAAGAAGGGAGGATAGGAGGTGGATGCGGGAGCGAGCTCTGGAGATGGATTCCCACCAGGAGTGCATAGGGTCGGAGGAGTGGCCGTTGGGGGTCTGGATAGAGGTGTTGTTGACGGGGTGCTGCCGGTCGTCGGAGGAGGAGGGGGAGCTGCCGTGGAGGTGGAAGTCCATGGTGGTGGATCGTGGAGTTTCCGCCTTTTCCCGGTGAGATTTTGGTCAAACTTATCAGTTCTGTAGACCGCTACTATCTTCTACCGTCGATTGGGCTGCATAACATTTGACGGTGCTTTTAGGGTGTGTTTGGATATAAGCTAGAACTTTTTAAATTGAGTGAGTTTGGTTGACTTTGTGAAATTAATTACTTTAGTGGATAGTCGGTCTCGGGACGGTGTCGAATCGGCTAGTGGTGTAAGTCGGTTGGGGAAGATGTGGCTTCATGCGGCTGGAGTGCGGGAGCTCGGGTCAACGTCTTACTAGGCCTTTCGCAGTGGTGGACGGGGTATCGGAGCTTCGGAGCTCTCCTTAGAATTGGCTTTGTCTGTTGTCCTTTTCGGATGTATCTGCTGAGGGATGTTGGGTTGTTAATGTGTATTTGTTTTTTGTTTATCGTGTTTTTAGTTCTTTGTTCTTGTTTAGTCGCTTGTGTTGGTGTTTTTGTTAGTTGTTATGTTTTAGGTTTGGGCTATTGGCCTCAGTCTGCCCGAGTGTGAACTTATTATCCTGTTGGGACCACACACTCGGGCATTACCCTGTTGAGGTCGTTTTTAGTCTTGTGTCTTAGTGTTGCGTGGTTATTCCCCTGTTAGCGTCGTTTCTAGGCGAACTTCGTCCTGTCCTCTCATGTTTATTCAGCTAGTGGCTGCGTGTTTGTCAGCTGGTATTGTTTTTTCGCACATTTGTGCCCTTATATAATATCTATCGTTCCGGAAAAAAATTACTTTAGTGTATATTTTGGGACTTTTATAAAATTTTTAAAAGAGACTTTTTATTTTTTTTTCTCGGAACGATAAAGGTGTTATATAAATTTTCATCATGTACTTATTGATACTTATTTTATATAAATTTAATGTATAACTATTATATTTTAACGAAATGTACATGAACCTTATTTCATAACTAATACTCCCTCCTATTTTTTTTTTTTAAATGTCATTTTGGTTTTATCAACTATTAACCAAATAAATATCATTTTAGATTTTTTGTACATATTTTTCCATTATTAGCCTCATTTAGCTAATAAATACATTATGTCTCTTCATATTCACTCTTCATCTTTTCTCAAAACACTCATCTCTATCTTCATTAAATAAGGTTATTATTGACAAAAAAATATTCTTAATAAATGTGCAACTTCTCAAAACGACATATATTAAGAATATGAGGTAGTATTAATTATATTGAGCTAGTTATTAGTTTAAAATGACATGAGTTATAATAGTAATACCAGCTATTCAACAAGAAGAAAGCAAATAATAATAATATTAATAATAATTTTGAAGCATACAATTGTGTACTGAGGTGAACAAATATTCCTGTAAAGAAATTTGAATCAACTATGAAATTATTCTTCGAACTTGATCATTCTTGAACACAACTCATTTCTGTTGAAATCTCGAGCTCGACTCATTTGTTTTATTAAATGAATCGAGCTTGAACAACTAATCGGAAAAATCGAAGTGAGTTTGTTCACGAACCACTCGTTTTATAATTATTTATTTTTTGTTATAAAATACGTAATCTTGTCGGACTTGTTTCTAAAATATTTTGTTTTTAGGAGAAGCTCATGTAGGTCTTAGTTTTATTAAACGGGCCAAGTCGATTTGAGTTTTTTGCGAGTTTCAATGAGTTTAACTAGAGTTGAGCCTTATATACATTTTCTAAACAAGCACAAGCTCAAACTTGAGTTACTCGTCTCACATAATATGACACTCATAATCAATCTGATCATAACATATTTGTGTGATTATTGTTGTACTAGTATAACGTCCGTGTATTATACGGGTGCTTGCTATTTTTTTTCTTAAAATCTAAAATTAATAGGAAAAAGTAGTTGAAAGTTTAAATACCTTTTATTAAAATATATATATTATTATATATTTAGTATGACACTTTTTATTTGTGCGGCTTACGTGTGTTATATTATAATAATTTTTTAACTTACAACATATAACTACATTAAACATAAATATATCAATTGAGAAATAATTTTATTTTTCTAATGAGTTTTAATAAATATTATAATTTTTATTATTATAAAGATAAATATATTTTATTTATTTCATATATACAATATGAACGTCAAATCGAAGATCATCAAAAGATGATTAATTTAATATATCCCTCCTATATATAATTCTCGAATGCGCTGAGCCTACGTGGCTGCTTATGGTGCTTCGAAATCCTACTTGGCGAAGAATCATGCTTCGTAATTAGGTTTGGACAAATAATATTGATATATTAATAATTAATAGTAATCTAGGTTCGGACGTTCCATATATATTATTTAGCTAACTTAGGTATTTTAATATCACTTATACTAATATAACCCTTTAATTCTATGTAATTTTACATAGTGAGACACTAAGTGACTAATATATCCCTGACTTTTGATTTGTTTTCTTCAATTAGCTATTGAATTATAAATGTATTTTAAAAGTTATAACTTTTGTATTTCTTATCGGTTTTACATATATAATATATCAAATTAATCATCTTTTCATAATCTTCAATTTGACATCCATATTGTATATATAAAATAAATAAATTATATTTATCTTTATAATAATAAAAAATAATAATGTTTATTAAATTTATTAGAAAAATAGAATTATTTCCCAATTGATATATTTATGTTTAATATAGTTATATGTTGTAAGTTAAAAAAATTATTATAATATAACACAAGTGAGTCACACAAATAAAAAATTTCATATTAAATATATAATAATATATATTTTAATAAAAGGTATATAAATTTTCAACTACTTTTTCTCATTAATTTTAGATTTTAAGGAAAAAATTAGCAAGCACCCGTGTAATACACGGGCGTTGTACTAGTTATATATGTAAAACGGATAAGAAATACAAAAGTTATCAACTTTTAAAATACATTTACAATTCAATAGTTAATTGAAGGAAACAAATCAAAAATCAGGGATATAATAGTCACTTAGTGTCTCACTACGTAAAATTACAAAGAATTAAAGGGTTATATTAGTACAAGTGATATTAAAATACCTAACTTAGCTAAATAATATTTATGGAATGTCCGAACATAGATTATTAATTATTAATATATCAATATTATTTGTCCAAACCTAATTACGAAGCATGATTTTTTGCCAAGTAGGATTTCGAAGCACCAGAAGCAACCACGTAGGCTCAGCGTATTCGAGAATTATATATAGGGGTGATTTTATTTTTTATTTTTTAATATTTGCATCAAAGTGTAGTGTTAGAAAAATATTATTATGATATATTTTTACAAGGCACAAAAAAACATCGTCAAAAGACAGTGATGCAAGTGCAAACTATGAAGACATTTGGCATTGAAAAATAAAATTCACAAGCAAGCAAATGTGAGGATAAAAGTAAAGATACGTAAAATAACCATAATAATAAAAAAAAACACGTCAAACGTTTGTGATGTAAAAACAAATTATACAAGCCATCCAGATAAATGGAAAAATTAATTAAGTATGAAAATTGAATGACGTACATAGTTATGTACATTATAGAGAAAAGAAGATCTTAAGAAAACCACATAAATCGAGCAAAAACTCACAAATTTAATGAGATTTCTACTGAATTTTTGTCATTGTAATTTTATTACAAAAGTCTCAAAAAGTCTTCCAGTTTAAAAATTCTTATATAATCTTCGTATTTTGAATATAGGGTGACTTGTTGAAACTCCATAAAGTTTAAATTGAATACACTGAGACTTTAAGAGATTTTTTAAAAAGTCTTTAAAAGTCTCATTTGAATACATGCAATTTTTTTAAAAGCTTCAATTGAATGAACTGAAATTTTGAAAGCCTTTAAAAGTCTTAGTTGAATACACCTTGCTAAGTCTTAGAAAATTCACCGACAACTCAAATTTAACTCAACACTGACATTCTTCAATATTAACAATATTGATGACACAATAAATACTTGAAGTTAGTACAAGGACATGCAGCGGCGATGTATGCTCTGACGTCTTCCTTAGTGCGTCTCATTTTCTCCGAATCCTGCATAAAAGAACCCCAGGGTTGTCTCAAGGGGTAGATCCTCCGATATCTAAGTTAGAATCAGTTTTTCGTTTAGGGTGGCGAATATAGAGTATGGATAGAAGAGAGTGTGTACAACCTTACCTTGACCTAGGTCATCCTTTTATAGAGGTAGGACGACCTAGGTCTTCCTTGTGCAGACGGAAGAATTCTCAGCCCACCAGTTTGGTGGACTATGGTCCACCAATTGGGCCTAAAGTAAGGCTCCTCAGGACCTTGGACATAGAGTAAGGCTTCTCGGGACCTTGGGCCAAAAGTAAGGCTTATCGGGACTAAATTTAGGTTGAGCATGAGTCTTAACCTTGGATAGTGACGGTTCTCGAAACACACGTGCCTTTATTCTACCGAGCCACATGTCGGCTAATAAATATATATTTTTTATACAATGAAGCTGCTATAGGTGTCCTTCAAAAAATCTTCAAAGTTCCCAAAGGTTTCAAGGTGTTTCATAAGATGTCTTGAGGTGTCAAAAAAATTAATCCTCAGACTACCGGGGGTCTATAAACAAGCACCTCGACCTACCAAGGTGTTAAAAAAATTAAGTCCACGAACTACTGGGGTCTACAAAAAAAACTCATCGGCCTACCGAGGTGTTAAAAAAATTAATCTTCGGATTACCGGAATCTACAAAGAAGCTCACCGCCCTACTGAGGTGTTCAAAAACATTAGTTCACGGACTACCGGGATATACAAAGAAGCTCCTCGGTCTACCGAAGTGTTCAAAAAATTAGTCTTCGGACTACTGGGGTCTACAAAGAAGCTCCTCGGCCTACCGAGGTATTCAATAAATTTAGTCCTTGGACTATCAGAGTTTACAAAAAAAGCTCCTCGGCCTACTGAAGCGTTCAAAAAATTAGTCCTAGGACTACCGAGGAGTACAAAGAAACTCCTTTGCCTGCCGAG